GAGATCATATCCCCCCCTTATGTATTATACATGGAGATCATATCCCCCCTTATGTATTATACATGGAGATCATATCCCCCCTTATGTATTATACATGGAGATCATATCCCCCTTATGTATTATACATGGAGATCATATCCCCCCTTATGTATTATACATGGAGATCATCATATCCCCCCTTATGTATTATACATGGAGATCGTATCCCCCTTATGTATTATACATGGAGATCATATCCCCCCCTTATGTATTATACATGGAGATCATATCCCCCCCTTATGTATTATACATGGAGATCATATCCCCCTTATGTATTATACATGGAGATCATATCCCCCCTCATGTATTATACATGGAGATCATATCCCCCCTTATGTATTATACATGGAGATCATATCCCCCTTATGTATTATACATGGAGATCATATCCCCCTTATGTATTATACATGGATATCATATCCCCCCTTATGTATTATACATAGAGATCATATCCCCCTTATGTATTATACATGGAGATCATATCCCCCCTTATGTATTATACATGGAGATCATATCCCCCCTTATGTATTATACATGGAGATCATATCCCCCCTTATGTATTATACATGGAGATCATATCCCCCCTTATGTATTATACATGGAGATCATATCCCCCTTATGTATTATACATGGAGATCATATCCCCCCTTATGTATTATACATGGAGATCATATCCCCCCTTATGTATTATACATGGAGATCATATCCCCCCTTATGTATTATACATGGAGATCATATCCCCCCTTATGTATTATACATGGAGATCATATCCCCCCTTATGTATTATACATGGAGATCATATCCCCCCTTATGTATTATACATGGAGATCATATCCCCCCTTATGTATTATACATGGAGATCATATCCCCCCCTTATGTATTATACATGGAGATCATATCCCCCCTTATGTATTATACATGGAGATCGTATCCCCCCTTACGTATTATACATGGAGATCGTATCCCCCTTATGTATTATACATGGAGATCATATCCCCCCTTATCAGTTTGGTTGCCCTTCTCTGTACTTTCTCCAGTTCCCCAATGGTCCAATATGAAATACTCTAATGTCCTAGCCTGGGTACAGGTGAGATTTAAAGCAGTACTTGCCCCCCACCCCCCCAGAAAATAAAAATAAACACTGAAGATCCATTTATTTATTACAGGTACTTGTATAGCGCTTTACATACCTATATTGTACTTTCACTGCAGTCCCTAACCCAGCAATAATCATAACACCATCAGCTAGAAAACCAGAGCAAACGATTTAGAGGAGTTAGACCTAAAGCCCATCTTCAGTACTTTACACCCCTCATTTCTATGCTGGGACCTCAATTACTGATAGATGTAATGTAATACCTATTAGAAGCTCCAGCACCTAATCACAGCCAGATGTCTTCTATCTCAGCAAGGCTGGAATCTATGTTGGGCTCCACTGTTGCTATAATTGAGTAGTTTGGTGTACATTGAGTTTTTGGGGTTCCAGGGGTGCCCTGGGAGATATCTAAAGGTACGTGTAAGCAGATCTGGCTCCACTCACCAGTGGAGGGTATTGTAGCTGTAATAAGAAGATAACGTTTCCTTGGAAGAAATAATAGGAAATCCTTCACACAGAATGTGTAGGGGGCATTGCGTTCTGATGATGTCAGGTTTTAGGTGCCTCGTGGTTTACACTCAGGGAGTGCAGGTTGAGTCTTTTAATTTGGAATATTGTCCAGGCAGCACTTTTGTTTTTTTGTTGCAGTAACCTCTGCACTTTCCTTCAAAAACAAGAGCCTCCCCCCCTGCAATCCCTGACCTTCAGACTAAGCATGACACTCAACTATCACCTGAAATCTTGAAATTAGCCCCTAACACTTATGCAGGCCATACATGTTTCGAATTCTGAATTTTTCATCCGAAAATCGAAAACGTCGTTCGCTCGGTAATCCGATGGTGGCATCAATGATTTTGAAACTTGGCCGACCGAGTCATAAAGTTCACCAAATATAACAGGCAAAACTTCTGTCCCTCCCAGGTCACGGCTCACGCGCATATTCTTTTCGGAAAAACGATTGTACGATTTGACCATCATTGAGTCGAAAATCGGTCGTTTTCCATGAATTTTCCAACATGCCCGATCACCGAAAAAAGGGGAGGAATCACAGAAATCGGCCGGTGCCATTGACCCATTAACAGAGCAAAAATCGGCCGATTATTCTTAGGTCCGATTTTCGGACGAAATATCGGTCAAATTTTGACCCATGTATGGCCAGCATTAGGCCTGCTGGATAGGGTTCTGGCGTTTATTTGTGTGTGGAGGGAACAGCTAGTGGTACCAACATTTATGGCGGAATTTTGGCATTTGCCCCTGGACTCATACTGCCCTAAACATTTGTATTGCTAGGTGCACCATTGAGCTCCTTCTAGCCACAGCAGCTGTCAGCATCCCGTAATGTTTTACAGGCTGCTAGCTACAGGGGAGGACAGTGCACCCGGCCCTCCACCTCCAGCTAAATACCCGAGCCCCGCACCTCCAGCTAAATACCCCCACGCACCTCCAGCTAAATACCCGAGCCCTCGCACCTCCAGCTGAATACCCCACCTCCAGCTAAATACCCGAGCCCCGCACCTCCAGCTAATACCCAAGAGCCCCAGCTGAATACCCGAGCCCACCTCCAGCTAAATACCCGAGCCCCGCACCTCCAGCTAAATACCCGAGCCCTGCACCTCCAGCTAAATACCTGAGCCCTCAACCTCCATGAATAGCTAAATACCCGAGCCCCGCACCTCCAGCTAAATACCCGAGCCCGCACCTCCAGCCCCGAGCCCCGCACCTCCAGCTAAATACCCGATACCTCCCGAGCCCTCCACCTCCAGCTAAATACCCGAGCACCTCCAGCTAATACCTACCCGAGCCCCCCCGCACCTCCAGCTCCAGCTGAATACCCGAGCCCCGCACCTCCAGCTAAATACCCGAGCCCCGCACCTCCAGCTAAATACCCGACACCTCCAGCTAAATACCCGAGCCACGCACCCCAGCTAAATACCTCCAGCCCCGCACCTCCAGCTAATACCCGAGCCCCTCCACCTCCAGCTAAATACCCGAGCCCCGCACCTCCAGCTAAATACCCGAGCCCCGCACCTCCAGCTAAATACCCAAGCCCTGCACCTCCAGCTGAATACCCGAGCCCCGCACCTCCAGCTAAATACCGAGCCCCGCACCTCCAACTAAATACCTGAGCCCGCACCACCTCCAGCTAAATACCTGAGCCCCGCACCTCCAGCTAATACCCGAGCCCCGCACCTCCAGCTAAATACCCGAGCCCCTCCACCTCCAGCTAAATACCCAAGCCCCGCACCTCCAGCTAATACCCCCCCGCACCTCCAGCTGAATACCCGAGCCCCGCACCTCCAGCTAAATACCGAGCCCTGCACCTCCAGCTAATACCCGAGCCCCGCACCCAGCTGAATTCACCTCCAGCTAAATACCCCAGCTAAAGCCCCGCCCTCCAGCTGAATACCCGAGCCCCCACCTCCAGCTAAATACCCGAGCCCTTCACCTCCAGTAAATGCCCAAGCCCCATGCACCGGGGCTATACACCCAGTGTGTATGTGTTCTTGAAGAGCAACTTCAGCCCCCATGTTTCCATCTATTAATATATTTTTTCAGGCTCAGTCTACCTTTTACCCTCAATTAACATACCCAGTGAATCCAGCGTTCTGCTATAATCTACCACCCCACTCCAACGCTGGGTTTTTTTTTTGCCTTTTTCTGGATCAATTGTGGGTTTAGGATTATAACTTTTTTTTTTGTGTTGGTTGAACTGGATGGACTTTTTTTTTTTTTCAGCCAGACTAACTATGTAACTATGTAACACCATCTTCTCTGCATATGTCATTGGAAGCTGGCTGTCTCTTCCTAGTTCTTGCAGCCATTCTCCTAATGATGCGGCTCCAGATCTTGTCCTTCTCCAGCACTGTGTAGAGGTTGCTGCCTCCTGAAATATTAGATATGGATATCTCCGGAGACCTTAGGAGTATGGTTCCATGCCATTCCATTCAAGAATAGAGGCAGTTGGAAGGCTGAAGAAAAAGAGTTGCCCCTGGGCTCACTTTTTTCACGCATGAAAAAAAAAAAGATTAAATTTTTTTACATTGGGGAGGACTAAAGAACACAACGGAGCAAAGTGTTTTTTTAATTTTAGTTTTTTAGTAAAGTCCTGTTTTAAGTCTTTTTTTCAAAATAAAAAAAATCCCATTGTTTTATCTGCTGAAAAAAATATTGTTTTTTTTTTCTTTCATTTGTTTGTCTTTTACTCCATTTAAAAGTACATGTCGTCTAAAGCCTTGTTCACACGAGCATACTATACACCTATGCCAGGTCCGTGTTTGCTTGCATGGGGATGCACAGGTGTTCTGTGTGTCCCCTCGCAGACAGTCCCATTCATTTCAGTTGGGATACAGCGGCTGCATGGACACATCCGCTGCTCCCAATTTGACAACCGCGTGGCGGTGCGGGTGCATGGCCCCGGGTGCATACTGCCTGCCAGGCCTAAGACTACTCTATTCAGTGACAATGCTGCTGTATAATTTCACTTCAGAATGAAAAGCGTTGCCAGGATTAACAGGTAATGTCATGTTACACAAGGAACTCAGAAAAATAAAGCCTGTATTATTTTTATTTATTGTTTAATTCAGGTACTTATATAGCGCCGTCAATTTACTCAGCTCTTTACATACATATATTGTACATTCACATCAGTCCCTAACCCTCAAGGGGCGTACAATCTAAGGTCCCTAACCCTCAAGGGGCGTACAATCTAAGGTCCCTAACCCTCTAAATCACATTCCCTACATACACCTCAAGGGGGACATTTAGACAGGAGCCAATTCACCTACCAGCATGTCTTTGGAGTGTGGGAGGAAGCCAGTGTACCCGGAGGAAACCTACGCAGGCACAGGGAGAACATGCAAACTCCAGGTGGGTGGTGCCTTGGTTGGGATTTGAACGAAGAACTTGGTACTGCCAGGTGAAAGCACAGAGAGGTGTGGAGGGATTGGCAAGAGGGGTACGGAGGACACTGAGTGGAGGTCAGTGAAATTCCAGAGAGGGGTGGAGGACACTGAATGGAGGCCAGTGGAGGGACCTTGGCAGAGAGGGGTGGAGGACACAGTGGAGGCCAGTGGAGGGATTGGCAGAGAGGGGTGGAGGACACTGAGTGGAGGTCAGTGGAGGGATTGGCAGAGAGGGGTGGAGGACACTGAGTGGAGGTCAGTGGAGGGATTGGCAGAGAGGGATGGAGGACACTGAGTGGAGGCCAGTGGAGGGATTGGCAGAGAGGGGTGGAGGACACTGAGTGGAGACCAGTGGAGGGATTGGCAGAGAGGGGGGTGGAGGGACACTGAGTGGAGGCCAGTGGAGGGATTGGCAGAGAGGGGTGGAGGACACTGAGTGGAGGCCAGTAGAGGGATTGGCAGAGAAGGGTGGAGGACACTGAGTGGAGGCCAATGGAGGGATTGGCAGAGAGAGGTGGAGAACACTGAGTGGAGGTCAGTAGAGGGATTGGCAGAGAGGGGTGGAGGACACTGAGTGGAGGTCAGTGGAGGGATTGGCAGAGAGGGGTGGAGGACACTGAGTGGAGGTCAGTGGAGGGATTGGCAGAGAGGGGTGGCAGATACAGAATGGTTAGTAAAGTGGATGAGTCTGGCAGCAGCATTCATGATAGACTGAAGCAGGGATAGCCTGCGGTGAGGTAGGCCAATGAGGAGGGAGTTACAGTAGTCGAGGTGTGATATAATAAGGGAGTGAATGAGTTGCTTAGTGGTTTCCGGGGTTAGGAACGGTCGTATCTTGGAGATGTTGCGGAGGTGAAGTCTACATGAGTTTGTCAGCGAGTGGACCTGGGGCTGAAAGGACAGATTGGAGTCTAGGATGACACTTAGTACTCTGGCATGAGGGGTAGGACTGATGATAGTGTTGTTGATTTTGATGGAGAAGTTTGGGCGGGGGGGGGGGGGGGGGGCGGACTGGGGGGAATACTAGGAGCTCAGTTTTGGAAATATTGAGTTTGAGTTTATTACTGTTGAGCATCAAAAATATTGTTGAAGTTTGTGTAGAAGACTCCCTGTTCTGAATTGAGAGCAACTTATTACTTCACCCGGCACTTACTCCCTAAATGTTCCGGTTCTTTATCAGGTATTAAGCAGTCTGGACAAATCCCAGGAGCCAGGCTGCCAATGCCCCTAACTTCATGAAGAAGCTGTAACTTTACTTTTGAAGTTTCTCTACTGTCAGTGGAAGTTTATGCTCTCGGATTCTTAAAAGAGTCTTCCTGTAGATGATCCCCCTGGTGCCTTCATTTCTCTGCCCCTGGGTGCTACTTTAGGAAATTAAATATCCTGCACCAGGCTTCAAAGCCATTAGCTTTGCAATATAATTGTACGATTTGGAGAGGTCATCTGGGTCTTGTTATACACGTTTCATTAATTGCTACGGTCATCTGGTCTTTTTTTTTTTTTGTCGTTCTGTAGGGAAACAAATTGTCCGTTTCTAGACGCTGCCTCGTAAAAGCTCGACCGGGAACACAGTATGACCTTGAAGGCACAAAAAAATATTATGTGGTCAACAAGCGAGAGATGGATAATTCCCATCAATTAGGGAATTATTATTTGTTGCGCAAGACCTTCGTTGAGCGGTATAAATAACCGCATAGAGCCTTCCCAACAGCCAGAGATTAATCTCGAAGCGTGGAAAAGAGGATTGCATGTATTAGAGTCAGGTTAATGAGAATATTCTACTGTAAACTGTTGTCTTGATCTGGGCGATGGGCTTAGCTTGTGCTTTCTAATTAGTTCAGATAAGGGTTTGATCTTGGCACAGTGGAGAGTGATATGGTTTAATTTCAAGGTTTGCATCGCCAGTCCGCAATAAGCTCAGCGCTTCCTTTCCACTTCAAGGGCACCGGCTCACAGGCCAAAAGAAAAAAGACCTAAAAGACCTTCCTTGTCTCCCACCTAGGTTCCGTACAGTAACCGCCGTGCTTCCACTCGTAATTGAAAAGATATATTCATTGCGGTTTTAAAAAAAATCATTCCTTTTACTCTTGCGGTTTTTTGGAATATTCCTTTTGTAGAAAATGACAAAACTTGTCCGCTATTCTTCAAAAAAAAAAAAATTGAAGGCTCGAAAAATGTGAACAGTTTGTAAGAATGGCAGACATAATTGGATGTTGGAACCAAAAGGGCTCAGAATCACCTATGGTGGTACAACCAGGGGATGTGGCGTTTGAGTCCTTGTCAACGGGAACGGGGCTTGTTCTCCAAAATCTCTAATTATTTAAGTCTGGTAATTAGAAAAGCTGAATATTTCTGCAAAATTACTTTTATTATCTTTTGCTCAGTTATTTTTTTTTATTATTACTTAATTTTTTATTATTTATTTATTTTTTAGTTTCGGACAGAAGGGCATGAGATTAAACCCTCTGTCAGGTTTTTTTTGTCTGTGCCCCACTTTAGGGAGATTCATCCTCTTCAATTGTTCTGTTTACCATTATCACTAAAAATAAAAGTAAAAGAAAAGCCCACATTTTTTGGGTTGTCCCCAGAAAATAGAGGGGAAAACTTCCAATGGGGTCACTAGTTTTGGTGATCTTCTTCCTCCTTCTTCCTCCTCCCTCTTCCTCCTCCCTCTTCCTCCTCCTCCCTTCCTCCTCCTTCTTCTTCCTCCTCCTCCTTCCTCCTCCTTCTTCCTCCTCCTTCCTCCTCCCTCTTCCTCCTCCTTCCTCCTCCCTCTTCCTCCTCCCTCTTCCTCCTCCTTCTTCCTCCTCCTTCTTCCTCCTCCTTCTTCCTCCTCCTTCTTCCTTCTCCTTCCTCCTCCTCCTTCCTCCTCCTTCTTCCTCCTCCTTCCTCCTCCTCCTTAATCCTCCTTCCTCCACCTTCCTTCTCTTTCTTCCTTCCATCTTCTTCTTTTTCTTCTCTTTCGTTTTCTTCCTTCTTCTTTTAATTTCTTCTTTTTTCCTCTTCTTCTTTTTTCTTCTTCCTTCTTCTTTTAACTTCTTCTTCTTTCCTCTTCTTTTTTCTTCTTCCTTCTTCTTTCTTCTTCCTCCTTTTTTTAACTTCTTTCTTCTTCTTCCTTCTTCTTTTAACTTCTCTTCTTCTTCTTCTTCTTTTACCTTCTTTCTTCTTTTAACTTCTTCTTTCTTCTTTTAACTTCTTCTTCCTTCTTCTTTTTAACTTCTTCTTCTTTCTTCTTCTTCCTTCTTCTTTCTTCTTCCTCCTTTTTTTAACTTCTTCTTTCTTCTTCTTCCTTCCTCTTTTAACTTCTTCCTTCTTCTTTTAACTTCTTTCTTCTTTTAACTTCTTCTTCCTTCTTCTTTTAACTTCGTCTTTCTTCTTCTTTCTTCTTTTAGCTTCTTCTTCTTCCTTCTTCTTTTAACTTCGTCTTTCTTCTTCTTCCCTCTTCTTTTAGCTTCTTCTTCTTCCTTCTTCTTCTTCTCCTCCTTTATTCTTTCTTTCTTCTTCCTTTATAGTGTTCCTGCATTTCTTGCCATCAATCACAATGCATGCTGTTTCTGTTCTAACATATGTAGACGCACTATGTGCATATTAGATGTGAATCTCAGCCTCTCCTTCTTGCACAGGTGTACCGGCTCCTCTCCTATACTGGAATAGCTTACTCTGATTTTGCTGCACACTGTGAGCTTCCCTCAGTATGTAATAGAAGTTGCAGCAACTTAAATGGAGCCTGTCTCATTTTCTGGCTGAAGGAAATCCAGGATCATCTATCTCTTTCCTTTCCAGGCTGACAGTCACTGACCCGCCCCTACAGAACCTTGCCTCCCCTCCCATACCAGCCATGGTCTGCCTGAATTGCATAAAAAGCATAGAGACCCAGTAATGAGTTCACTGGGTCTAAATAAGATGTGTAATAGAAAAGGAAAGGTTTCGTTAAAAAAATGTCATTAGCACGTTGATAAGGGGGAAGAAGGAGGAACCGGCGAAGGCAAAATTTAGGCAGATTAAACTTCAGCTCTAAATTATATGTATGTCACCGTTCTGCTAAGAGCGGCACTTTGAAGATTTAGATTTTCATTTACCTAAGAGCTGTGACAGTCCCAACAGGATTGTGGCCACGTAGGTCATTGCAGGAGCGAGTTCTTAGCGTTGGTAAGGTTTTCCAATCTCCTGCATTCTAATCATTGCCAGGGACAATGCGTGTCTGTAGAAAGGGCACACAAATTAGTTCATGTGTAGCACAGAATTGATTCACAGAGAAAGCTGACATTAAATTGGAAGGAGCTTCAGTAGGGGGTTTATGTTTGCCTTTCCTGAACCGGTGACACAATAATGGTCTAGAGACGACACAGCTATCCGCCTTGTGATGAAACAAAGTAACGACCCCAACACCGTGTAACTAGGCCACCATCAATACACCAGTGTTAGCTGCTAATCTAGAATAAATAGAAATACAATATAAACTAATAAAGGCAGTGCTTAACTAAATGATACAAACATATGTCCATAGGTGTGCTTGATTTACTCAACCGCTGCCTATTATTAGATTTTGTCAAGTGAGGCTTGAGCTTTTACAAACGTATCCTTTACAGTTTCATGTTTCCTAGGTTGCCAATGTCAGGAGGCATTTAAAGTAGTAAACCGATTCTGAATTACATGTAGTTTGCTAAACCACCGTGTATCATAAACAGCTTTTTTCCGTTGCCACGGTCATTTTTGCATTTTTCTTTGCACATGTTTAAAACATTATTTTAGGCCTGAAGATTACTTAACCTCTTCACAAATGTGTGGCCTCCCGGCGTCTGGGCTTAGATGACGAGCGGCCACACATTTGCGTGCCATTAACAAAAGACATGTGTGCTGAGACCGCGCACCCTGAGCGCTCCCAGCACACATGTCCAGTACTCACGGAAAGGTCCCGGTCTGCTCTTTCGATCAGGACCTTTCCCAATCATGTGACAGCCGTGATGATGCATCACGGCGGTCACATGATCCCTAAACCACACCCCGCCCGTCCCGCCTCCCGGCTTCTGAAACTCTTAAAGGGCCGGGAGGCGCCGGCGGGAAGGGGTTAAACACTTCAAGTCCGGACACTTTCACCCCCTTCCAGTCCGGACACTTTCACCCCCTTCCAGTCCGGACACTTTCACCCCCTTCCAGTCCGGACACTTTCACCCCCTTCCAGTCCGGACACTTTCCCCCCCTTCCAGTCCGGACACTTTCACCCCCTTCCAGTCCGGACACTTTCCCCCTCTTCCAGTCCGGACACTTTCCCCCCTTCCAGTCCGGACACTTTCCCCCCTTCCAGTCCGGACACTTTCACCCCCTTCCAGTCCGGACACTTTCACCCCGTTCCAGTCCGGACACTTTCACCCCCTTCCAGTCCGGACACTTTCACCCCCGTTCCAGTCCGGACACTTTCACCCCCTTCCAGTCCGGACACTTTCACCCCCTTCCAGTCCGGACACTTTCCGGACACTTTCCCCCCCCTTCCAGTCCCGGACACTTTCCCCCTCTTCCAGTCCGGACACTTTCCCCCTCTTCCAGTCCGGACACTTTCACCCCCTTCCAGTCCGGACACTTTCACCCCCTTCCAGTCCGGACACTTTCCCCCCCTTCCAGTCCGGACACTTTCACCCCCTTCCAGTCCAAGCCAATTTTTATCTTTCGGTGCTATCACACCTTGAATGACAATTGCGCAGTCATGCAATACTGTACTCATAGGACTTATTATTATTATACAGGATTTATATAGCGCCAACAGTTTGCGCAGCGCTTTGCAATATAAGGGAGACAGTACAATTACAATACATTTCAGTACAGAAGGAATATGAGGGCCCGGCTCATGGAGCTTACAATCTAAATTTTTTAGTATTTTTTTGAGACAGATAAAACTTTATTTTGGTGGTATTTATTCACCACTGGGGATTTTTATTTTTTTGTTATATAAATGAAAAAGTCCAAACACTTTGAAAAAAAGGTGTTTTTCTTATAAAATTTTGCAAATAAATAATCTTTCTTCATAAATCTTGTCAAAAATGTATTCATCTATCTTTTCAGTACTAAAAAAACAAAACAAATTAGTTTATAACCAAAAATTATAATTTTATTTTATTTTTTTATAATTTAATTTATGGGTTTTTTTTCTTTTTTAACATTCTGTCACCCTAGCAGTACAGTGACACTGTACTACTTGTGGGCGGTGATGAAGATTTTTTTTCCTTTTTTTACACTGATTGCTTTTACACCCATAAAGGCTGTAAAAGCAATAATTTCTCCTTCTCTCTGGTTGCATTCTTGCAGCCATTGAGAATTACCGTGAGAGCTGTGATTGGTCACAGCTTGTCACGTGATACAAGGCTATTGTGAATAGCCCTGTACCATGTGATCTCTGTGATCATTCACAGATTTCACATGTAGTAGGCAATGATGTCAGAAAGTTTCATCTTGTTTACTACTATTCATGTGATCACTGATTGGCCAATCAGTGATCACATGAATTGAGACCTGAATTGAGGTCCCGCACAGTGATCGGTGTTCCGCTGTGCAGCGGGCATTGGATTGCGGTGCCGAACGCTCCCAGGCTGCGGGACTCACATAGTGGTGTATGTAGGTTTCATGCTGCCCTAGGCAACACAAAATTCTGCTTCCCCCCCAAGGAGAGACCCTGACACTGACCAACGCCCTCCTCCCCCACGAAGAGAGCCTGACATTGATCAGCAACACAAAGAGAGCCTTTGAATACCACCGCCCCCCATACACTGGCAAACCCCCCCCGCGAGAGAGAAAACATTCACCTTCACAGCTCAGGACATCCCCAGGAACAAGAGTCAGGCTCTGCAAGCACCATAAAGCAGCCTCTCTCAGATCCCACCTGGTCCCCATGCTGCATGTGTCCCTTATTCCATCCCTTCTTTTGGGGAGGCTGTGCTGCCCCCTTGAAAAATGCTGCTGCCCCCATGAAAGCTGCCGCTGTCCCCCTGAAAAATGCCACCCTAGGCAAATGCCTTGTTTGCCTTGTGGTAAATACACCCCTGGACCCACACAAAAATACCTGCAGCCGCACCACCCGCACAGAGTAATGCGGGACCCGCGGGTGGATGCCATTAATTCTAATGGGCCGCCGCCCGCACTGGAAACTGCAACCGCACTGGGAACCTCAGTGCCCGTGCGGGCTGCGGTTTCCAAAGAACTGCAGGGACTTCTTCCCTTCGTGTCACGGGGCACGGGAGTCCATTCAAATGAACGGGCTCTCGTGTCCGCACAAAACGCGGCCCGCACCGCCGCATATATGTGAACCGGGGGTAAGTAGATGAAAGAGTTCAGGTAAAGTTCAGGCACAGAAAATGATGTTAACAGTAGGATGTGACGATCCGCTTGACATTTTCCCTTTCCATATTATTTGCCATTCTTCCTGTCATACTGTTGTGTGCTCTGTGATGGAGCGCGGCGGCGGATGACACGACATGAGCGCCAACAGTGGGAAGTTCCGAGAAAACCGGCAGCCTTTTTTTTTATTCGGCAAAGCAATCTTCCCTGTTCCAGACTTCACTCCTGCTGCGATGCGGCGCAGGCTGGATTTGATTCTCTGTTTGCATGCTCATTTCCCAGTTACTTCCTAATTTACTTTCCCGTTTTATATACAGTACGCGGCGAGGTGCAGACGACCGCCTGCTGGCACGCTCTCTTTATGTTCCATCCCGTCTATGATATGATATACTTCTCTGTATTTTCAAAGACTCTCGTTGCTCCTCTTTTTCGGGTGCCAGGCTGGGTTTTGGATGCTGGAAATGTGCGTGTGAGCTCTTTCTTCTTTTGTTCTGTGTGATGTTGATACGTTTTTAGCAATTGCATTGTCTGCTGTTTGTTTTTACCTCGGCGGGACTGTTTGCAGTTTGTTCTGTGACGTTGTACATATGAAAACAACTGGAGGCAACAACACCACCACTGTTCTGTGTTTATTATTAATAATATTTTTTCAGACAAGGGCATTACATACCAACTTCGAAGTGTAAAAACAAAGAACTTCTCCTGTTTGTTCAATTTTGGTCTGTTACCATTGAAAGTGTTTTGTGAATGTAAAAAATACCCGTTCATCCCGATGGAAGTCTTGTGAGCTGGTAAGTTCCTGTGTTCTCTCCCATCAGTTACAGCTATCTCTGTAAACTACAGAACACCACATCCTCCTGTGTTATGGAATAAGGAAAGGGGGAAGTGTTCTGTTGTTCTAACATACGTCCTGTCCTAGGGTGACAACACTGCTTTTGCAAAGATACAGTACTGTAAGTGTTGTCAACCTAGGACAGGGCCTGTGTTACTGGCTGGATTACCAAGTGAAAATAAAGACAGAAAAAGAGAAAATGAATCCAGAAATCAAATCTAATGATTGAGTTTACTGCATTAGATAGCTTACAAAGGGCTGTTTGCTTTTCATATGGCAGTGCTGATTGGCCCAGCACTGTCACATGGAGTGTGTCACATGCCTCTTTATACCTTAAAGTAGAATTATAGGCAAAACTTTTTTTCATTTTGGATAGAGAAAGGGAGGATTATAACCCCTGTCAGGTTTTTTTTTTTGCATTTGTGTCTCATTGGGGAGATTTCCCTTCACTTCCTGTCCCATAGCCTAAACAGGAAGTGAGAGGAAATCCCTGCAAATTAACCACTTCCTGTCTGGCCCATGTATATAAACAGACGGACGGGAGCATTGCAGGAGCAGGTGGCCATTTATAAAAGTCCTCCCCACTTCCCTGCCTGTGTGCGCTCCATGTGAGCGGGCAGCACCGCGATCCGGTGCCCTCTGTGTCCTCCAGACATAAGCGGAACACCGATTGCTGTATGGGACCTCTGTGTGAGGTCCCGATCATGTGATCACTGATTGGCCAATCAGTGATCACATGAATAGTAGTAAGCAAGATGTCACTTCTGACATCATTGCTTACTACGTGTAAAATCTGTGAATGATACAGAGATCACATGGTACAGGGCTATTCACAACAGCCTTGTACCATGTGACAAGCTGTGACCAATCACAGCTCTCACAGTATTTCTCAATGGCTGCAAGAATGCAGCCAGAGATAAGGAGCCAACGATGTGTACACGGACACAGAGGAAAACATTAGGGAGAGTTCAGGGGCTGCTGAAAAAAATGCAGAAAATCTCCTGAATGTCAGTTTAGCAGCTGCAGTGTACATGAGGCCTAACACTGTCATTCTACATCTATCTGAATAATGTCATATCACTCATCTTTGTCTCTCTTGAACACTGCGTTAGTCATCTCTGCAACATTGTATCATTCTGTATCCATCTCCATAAAGCTGCATCAGTCTGTATCCTCTGTAACATTGTATCATTCTGCATCCTTCTCTGTAACATTGTATCATTCTGCGTCCTTCTCTGTAACATTGTATCATTCTGCATCCTTCTCTGTAACATTGTATCATCCTGCATCCTTCTCTGTAACATTGTATCGTTCTGCATCCTTCTCTGTAACATTGTATCATTATGTATCCTTCTCTGTAACATTGTATCATTCTGCATCCTTCTCTGTAACATTGTATCATTCTGCATCCTTCTCTGTAACATTGTATCATTATGTATCCTTCTCTGTAACATTGTATCATTCTGCATCCTTCTCTGTAACATTGTACCATTCTGCATCCTTCTCTGTAACATTGTATCATTCTGCATCCTTCTCTGTAACATTGTATCATTATGTATCCTTCTCTGTAACATTGTATCATTATGTATCCTTCTCTGTAACATTGTATCATTCTGCATCCTTCTCTGTAACGTTGTATCGTTCTGCATCCTTCTCTGTAACGTTGTATCGTTCTGCATCCTTCTCTGTAACATTGTATCGTTCTGCATCCTTCTCTGTAACATTGTATCATTCTGCATCCTTCTCTGTAACATTGTATCATTCTGCATCCTTCTCTGTAACATTGTATCATTCTGCATCCTTCTCTGTAACGTTGTATCGTTCTGCATCCTTCTCTGTAACATTGTATCGTTCTGCATCCTTCTCTGTAACATTGTATCGTTCTTCATCCTTCTCTGTAACATTGTATCATTCTGTATCCTTCTCTGTAACATTGTATCATTCTGCATCCTTCTCTGTAACGTTGTATCATTCTTCATCCTTCTCTGTAACATTGTATCGTTCTGCATCCTTCTCTGTAACATTGTATCGTTCTTCCATCCTTCTTTGTAACATTGTATCGTTCTGTATCCTTCTCTGTAACATTGTATCATTCTGCATCCTTCTCTGTAACATTGTATCATTCTGCATCCTTCTCTGTAACATTGTATCGTTCTGCATCCTT